CAGATGGTTATTTGATTTATAGGAGCAGTAAAAACAATCTGACTCCAGAAAGTAGATTTGCTTTCCTCTGAGACTCTTACATGCAGTTAAAGAAACAAGTAATTGAATTACGTTTCAGAGATTTGGGCTTTACATCTACTGTTATACTTTTGTCCAAAGTTGTCTGCAAGGCTGCTACTGAGGAAATGCTTTTAGATGAGGGGGGGGAGAAGGAAACTAAAGAAAGCAATAGCCAAAGTGTAAAAGCAAAATTAAAACAGCTCAGGGCATTCGTGGTGTAGCAGGGGGATTGGAATAAATGACCTTTAAGATTCCTTCCAACCCAACCATTCTATGATTCTATAATATTAAATCATAATTTGTAAATTAATTGACACAGCCAGAAATCACTGTGTTCATGAAGTGTGTTTTGCAGGAGTTTTGTGCATTCAGGTGCACTTCTGTTTTGTTTTGGTATCTGAATCTCCGTGTAACTGAGAAGACTGCAATCTATAATTAACCTGTTGTTCCTGTGTCAACCCAAAGATTTCATTTATATTACCCTTGATTTACAACATCAAATTATTGAATTTCCACTGCTTGAAAACCCAGTATCATTCTAAGACTCAAGGGAAACCATCCCAACCTGGAAAGTAGAGAGCAAGGAATAAATGGTTACAGTTGTCCAGCCTCCATGTCTATGTAATACTGTGATTTATAATCTAAGGGCCCTGACAAATGTTTACTAACAAAGGTTGCATAAAGAACTTCATTCTATGGTCAAAATACCATAAGTAGAACTTATAAGTAGAACTTTTTCCACTCCAAATTTTATTCCTTGAAAAGCATGGATATGGGCTGACTTGGACAATTCACAATTTGAGGGGAAGGTTCACAAAGGGATGTAGTCTTAAGAGGACAAACAGAATGCTTTACAACTACCTTATTCTACATAAGGTAGTTGTAAATATAGAATGCTATACAACTACCTGTAACTGTCTTAGCACCAATTTTCTAGAGTAAATTCTATTTATGAAGCTTTTGGGTTTTTTTCCAAATATGCATTGAAATATATAGCTCTGTGGGAATCCAGCAACTATTTACCAACCTGTATTTCTGAGGACCTTATTACAGTAGCACATAAAGGCCTGACATGCTTTGTCTGGAAGCTGCTTTCTAGCAGCAGTAGATGGCTGGTGATTTCTGTGTAATTTTATGCCACTCATTACCATAGCATTTGACTTCCTCATGACTATTAATGGATTTTGCCTCTTAACACTACATCGAAATCAGCAAGTATCATTCTTCCTCTTTACAAATGGGCAGCTGATGAGAAGCATAGATTAAATGAACATACATGAAAGCCACAGGATGGCTGTGCTGCTGCCAGGAATGGAATCAGGTGCCACGAATGCCAGTTCCATCAAATTTCCCATCTATTATACTTTGTGGGAGGTTTTTCCTAAAAATAATTGGAGATACTTTCCTCCATGTAGCATGCAGAACAACTTTACACATGATGAGTGCATCTCTAAATAGGAGGCACACTGATAAAAATTGAGTAATAGATTCTGTGAAATAATTTCAATGGACAGGAGAGCTAGATTAATCTTTCAATGACAGCTCTTTACATGTTAGATATCTAGCCTGAGTTAGTTTTCTCAGCTTCAACCATAGCACTTCCCTAGGGTGATTGATCTTACCTATCTTAGACATCATATCTAAGTCAGGATAAATGCCCTCCTTGAGATCTTATTTCTGCTCATTCACTTGGAGCCTTGTTTAGGCTAGATGTTTAATTTTAGATGAGCTAAAATTCTGTGAGGTGGTTCACAGTCTAAGCTATTTAGTTACCTAATCCTTGGTTTTAAAAATAGCTTTGGGCAGGTGAGTTAGGATCAGAATTATTGGAACTAAATCAGCTATTGTAAGAGTCACCTAATTTCAGGTGCCATTATCTAGGAAGTTGTCTGATCTCTCATTATTTTTAAAAAAACAGGGCACTTGAGGTCTCAGTTCTTATGCAGATGTACGAATCTAAGGAGTAAAGATGAATTTCATCCCATCTCTCCTGTTAATTATAAAAGAAGTCTTCACAACCTGTGTAACTATAGGCACCATCACTATGGAAATTCAAACCAAATTAAATGAATTCTACATTAGGTCTCCAGTTAAGAGGTGAAATAAACCAGTGGGTGTTGTGTGCTGTAATATCCTTAAGTATCTCTTCCAGATATATGACCAAAACACATCATGGGCTCCAAAGACATTTAAGGGCTCCTGAAAACTGACTTGAATAATGGATTATATTGGTTGGTTACGTGAGTCCAGTATGATATGTATGGCTGTGGTGTATAGGAAAAAATGTCTTTAATAGATATGCAAATAGTTAATTAATAATTCATTATAATAGTTCTGGTCCTGTACAAGTTTTTTATAAATGCACCCTTTATGTAAAGTGAATCATTTTGTTTCACATCACTGAATAAAGAATATAAATCCACATATGTTGTGTAGATTTTGCTGTGGCAACAAACGTGTATATGTTCTGCTACTTTGTGTTTCAGTTGGTTGCTGGGTTTTAATTGAGCAGGACACAAGGAAAAAGAAATTGGAAAATGACATAAATGTATCTGGACTTTGAAGGTAGAAAACAGGCTGGTAACTAGATATCAAGATATGCAAATTAATTTAGCAGCATCTTTTCTGGATCATTTTTTTGGCTGTTATAGTATGAAAATCACTGGAGAGGGTGCCATACTGATTTGGAATGAGTCCTGTGCTGAACCAGTATAAAATGTTACATTTGTTGGACAGAAAACGATGTTGCTGTCCACCTTGCCAGTAGGTAAACTGGACATTTACATTCTGTATCTTTCCCTAACAAAATTAATTAAAAAAAAAAAAGAAAAGAAAAGAAAATGTGAGGAATCGCTTCATGCCCTTTTAGGCTAAGTTAATGGCTGGAAAGTATGTTCTTTTTTTTCCAGCTCAGAATTTTTAATGTAAATGCTGACAGAACCTCAGCTACAGTGTCACTGGTGTTTGCCTTCTTAATGAGAAGCTGTTAACAATCCCACATGCAGCACAAAGTTCCCTCTTAATAGGGTAAGACAATCACCATCCTCACCTTCAGGTCCAGTCTGTGCCCTGAAGAAAAATTAGGCTGCTAGAGAGTTTTGGAGCTATGGTTACCTATATTTCTATAAAGGCCAGCCAAATGACTCAGAGCACTCAACACATATATAGTGGAAGGATCACAAACTTTTCTGAAAATTGAGAGCATCCAACATTAAATATTTATGGCATTAGTCTGGGTTCAAGCATAATAATAACACAGGAAAACATCAGTTGACTTCTTGAGCCCCCGCATGCAAGGAGACTGCAGACATGTCTTGCACACTTCTCAAAATACTATTATTTTCCAAATTCAAGATTCTTAAGTATTCTATAGGAATTTCTGGCTGTCATTCAACACACTGAAAGATATTTTGAAGTCTTATTGTCCTTTTAGATTTTGCTTTTCTTTTCAGAGGTTATTTGGAGTTTTCATTAATTAACAAAGTTGGATAATTTGAGTTGATTTTTTTCCTGTGATGCAAACTTTTGTGTCTACATGTTATAGTCTTTTAAGAGCTCTAATATTATTTTAAGAAGCAGTTTAACAAGACATGTTGTGACAGCATTCACAGAGGAGTCTTCTGAAATGTACCCAAAAGATGTAGAGCCTTCTTTGTAATTTAAAATTCTTTTTTGTATTCTGTGTGTATGAGGTGTTGGTCCTAAAGCTTCCATTTTCCTCAAAAGATTTCTTTGGAGAGGGGTGTGGATTGGAGAAAGAATTTTTAGTTTGCTATTCTCCCAAAAAAGGGAACAGGATTTTCATGAGCCGTTATGGGATAAAATCTTATGAAGCACTAAATGTTGTGAGTGCTGTAACATAAAGTTCTGTTTTGTTTTTTTAGCACACCATAAAGTCTACTCACGGGGAAAATTCATACCTACTCCCTTCCTCTTTGGCCTTTTGGATTTGCCTGTTTTCTTTGGGGTTGTTAGGACCAAATGCTTTCATTTATTTTCCTCCACAGTAGAGCAGATTTATAGTTGAATCTGAAGCCTGGTTCACAGTGGTTATACAGCCACTGGTGTGGAACTGCACCAACACAGAACCCTAGAGTGGATGTGATTTACATGTGCACAGCATGATTTGTACTAGCTCAGCTTATCTCTGGCTGAAAGCAGGGTAAATTAGACATGGGAAAGTTATTGCAGTGATATCAGTCACTGTAGAGCAGGCTTTTTTGTCAATGAGAATACACTGAGCATGTTACTTAATACTGCTGTGTGTCAGTGTCTCCATCATTAAAATTAAGGTATTTCCATGGCCTTTTAGGCTATCAGGATGGAATTAAATGAAAAGTGAAAAAAACTGAAGAAAATTTCATGGGAGACACAGGAAAAAATACACCTAGTATTGAAATGAATGCATATAAGAGAGTTATTATGCTGATCAGTTTAATGTTCAGCTTGCTTTTAAAATACAGTTGTCTAGGAAAATTTTTACAGCCCTTAAGGTCTAAAACATTACACTACTTCTAGCTATAGATCCCTAAAGGGGGTTTTTTTGTGTGTTCTCTTCAATCTGTATACAGCACTTATCATTTCTCTGTTGGACTATTTTTATTATGTTTACAATAATTTTTTATAGTAATGTAAGTGCATTTGATGTTACTTACAGAAATAGTCTGCTGTTTTCTCGATTTTAATATCCCACACAGTCTTCTGGTGGTGCAAATGGCTGTGAGCCAGAAAATTATGCACATGATGCGAGTTGGAGCAGAGTGACACCGCATTTAATAACACTGCAAAGTTTTAGACTTTTGACAAATAACCTGAACTTAGTATGTGAGACATTAGGACAATTGACTGGATTACGTGGAATAGAGACAAACTCAAAGGTTTGGGTGTTTTCTTTGTGTGCTGCCAGGACTTTATGACCAATGTGTTGTGTTGTGTTGCAGTACAACCGGTACCAGCGCTACGGGGCCGAGGAGTGTGTGCTGCAGATGGGAGGAGTGCTGTGTCCCACCCCCGGCTGTGGGGCAGGTCTGCTTCCCGAGCCAGGCCTGAGGAGAATCCGGTGTGAGCCAGGCAATGGAATAGGCTGTGGGGTAAGAACCTACATTTTCCTCCTAGTGGTGTGGGAAATAACTGATACCGTACAATGAACGCTAAGACAAAGGGGGGATGTGGTTGGCTTTTTTATCTTTTCATTGGCTCTGAATTGCCCTTCCCACCAGAGTGGGATAATGCAGCTCACCAAACAATTTAAATATAGTGCAATGGCTTAGGAATGATGACTTCATCGTGGAGAATCTGTCCATTCCATAATTCTTTGCTTTATTTGGTTTAAGAAGTTGCTGAATACTTACAGTAAGAAATTGAACTGTGCAAATGAAAATCCAAATGCACTCTGACTTTCTTCTCCTAGAACTCAGCAGAAATGAACAGGATCTTAAGCAAAGCGTTCATTATCATATAAATTTTTTTTACAGAAAAAGGAGAGATAGAATAGGCTGTTTGTGACATCATAGCGATATTTCTTGTGCATGTTAAAATACATGATGGAAAGAAATATAGAAATTTATTTGTTTACTCATGTTTGTTTTAAGCAAGGGGAATGAACAATTAATGGTGGATTTGTGGAAAGCAAAATCAAATGAAGCTTGGAAATACTTTTGCTAAGAAATCACATCATATGGGCCATCGACATTTTTGGCAGTAGAAAAAGCAAGTACTTGACAAGAATTAAGCTTTGGGGGAAATAGATGCACATAGAGATAAATCTATATATAAAAGAACCTATTAAATGTTCAGTCAGAGTGACTAACTGGTGTTTGCACTATGTGAGTCTTTCCATAGTTGGCATTGCAGCAGAATTCCACAAACACTACGAGAGAAGATAAAATATATATATTTGTAAAATACTAGGGTACTCTTTCTGCCTTTTTTCTTGTGGAAAATGCACTTTTTATTGCAGTTTTGATATTGCCCAAACTGATACCGTGGAAGAATAATAGTTTGGTGAACTAGGAAGTCGCAGTAACTTGTCTTCTTTGAGTAGGTTAGCATCTGTCGACCTTGGTAAGACTTCCTATCTGTCCATGCAGTGGTGCATGTAAAACAGAGTGCTGCCCAGATTCACTGAGCAGACATGGGGCTATAAAATAAAGCAGAATCTGGGAAAGTAATAAGAAACATGACTGCATAAACAAAAGGGAATGCCTCTGGATTAACTATTAGGGATTGATTAAAAAAGATAAAATCACATATAATTTTTATTCAGGTCTCTGCCTGGAAGTGGTGAAAATCACACTGTACTTTGCAGCTTCATTTATCATCATTCTGAATCTGCAAATGCTGCGTAAATAAAGTTTACGTAGCGTAAAGGATTGATATATTGCCTGGTTTAGCAAACTGCTCTGTTTCCTTCTAAGGACTCTGTGCTGTGCTTGGTAGTGATCAGATCTACAGCCTTGAGTGTAACCTCACCCTTTGTTTTGAATTATGTGATGTCTTGAACATTACAGAGTACAATTCACTTAGGCTGAAATGAGAAGCAGAAGGCTGGTCTGGAAGCCAAATTTTGGTAACATTAAGGTCCTTCCTCAGAATCCATAATGGAACAGAGAGAAAATATATGCCTTTGAATCTTTCTTTTCACCCTAAAAAATGGTAACCTCAAGGAGGATTTGTCACAGACTTCCTGTGGTAAGGGTCCTAGCACTGAAGTCAAATGCTGGTAATAAAGTCAGATGAAGGTAAAGATCCACCTGCAAGGACACCAAGACAGTTAGAAAAGCTATTTATTTTTACTCTATTTTATGAAGTCATGTTCAGTGTTTTCTATTCTTAAACTGTGAGGTGGTTTCTCCCAGTCAAAACCTGACCTTTTTCAGTTTGAAGGCCTTCTACTAATTTTTATGGAATCCAGGAAGATCCATTTTAGAGCTCAGTATTGCCTCATAGGTGTGTCCGTGGTTTGCAAGCTCAAAGAAAGGCCCAAGATGAGAATGTCCCTATTACCCATCCAAAAAAGGACTGCAAAAGATGTCTTGCATTATTTAACCTGTACAGCTTAGATGAGAAATACATTCCTTGCTGAAGCTGGTGAGCAAAGAAATGAGGAAAGTAGTGTGAATCTGGAGATTCTTTTTGAATGTCTGCATCATTCTTTAGGCTGTACTTTGGTTATGTAGAGTCTCTTTTGGGGTGTTTGAACCTCTGTCTTTGGTTTAATTTCATATTGATAACAGCAGCAGTTGTATTCAGCATCATTGTCCATTATTCACACAAAAGCCCTTGCAGAGAAATAGGTGCCTATTGAACAGAACAAATTGGTTGTTCAGGTCTGTATTGGCATGTTAGGGTAGCTAACAACTGTCAAGTAGCTGAGGATTTTGATTTGCTGATGAAATTACCCAGGGGAGAGAGGAAGGGCAGGTGGTCAAGAGAAAGTCAAGACAGTGAATGAGAAGGGGTTTCAGCAGCCATTTTAGAAAAGTAAAGGAACCAAAAAGAGAATAAGCTAGCCACCAGGGAATGAAACAAAATAAATATTCCAATATTCAGAGAGATAACCATGTGAGGCAGTCCCAAACATATAAGGACTATGACCAGAATGGGAAGGAATAATGAGAAAAGAACAGGTGACTGAGCCAGGCTAGCATGCAGACATTTTTGATTCCTCAGTTTCTTACTTGTTACATGGAATGAGAAACTAGAATCTCTTTTGCAAAGGAACTGCCATTGGTATCAAAGGTAAATGTGAATCTCCAGGAGAGTGCATATAATTTGCTAAAAGGGCCGTTGGTAAAGTTAAAAGTTGGATTTTGCTTTGTCTCAGGAAATTTGGAAACAGCAACATGCAGGGCCTAGAAACAGTCTGGTAAATGCCTACACAGAACTGTACCAAAAAGATGAGGAAAGAGGTTTAAATATAAGCATCCCCATATAACCCTAGATAGCAGTCAGGCACTGCTATCTATTCAGACTTCCAGAGAAAAAAAAATAACAAGACAAAAGGTTTATTTTGACTGAATAGAAACATGCAGATATCCTTTTAATGATTATGGATAGTCCTCACCTAAAGCCATATTGTGGTACCACTGACTGACTCTACTGATGTCTAATCTTTCATATTTTTTATTATTCACCATAAACTTATTAATTGATTTACTAAGATATTACCATTATACACTATTCTACCTTCATTACTATGCATCAGACTTATGTTACTAACTTCTATTGCTCAGCTATAAAATCCTGACATATTTAATACTAGAAAACAACAACAAAACATAGTAGATAGTACATATTGTACCAGCTGGCCTAGGTAGAGGAAAAGCTGTGGTAAACAAGACATACAAAAGCTTTATGAATAAAACATTTTTGTCTTGTTTTACATTATACTGGCATATTATTTACTACACATTAAAGAAGCTTGGAGTTAAAAACAGGTTAGAATGGATCTTTGAAAGGGACAATGCAAGTTGTTTCTTAAGAAGTGTGCCTTGGTTTCTACACATACAGCTCAGTTGCCTTGTAAAGCATTCCTTGTCAATATCTTTCAGTGAGATAACTGACTGATGTGTAACTGCATCCCACATTTTGCTCCACAATGGTATGTTGTGCAGCAACAATGGTAAATGTTTTGCAGCATGCAATATCAGTTCACCTACCCCTTGAAATGGAGTGAGAAGGGAGATACAGGATAGTGGAGACAGAGCCTCTGCTGGTCTTTTCCCCTTGCGTTTATTCATTCCTAACATAAGCATGAAGAAGAATGTATTTCCACAGATTGGCTGTTGTTTGATAATCCCTGGCTAGGAGACTGGACTCTTGAAGGTCCATTGAGGCCCTGACACCACTCTAAACTATACCAAGGTCTGGGTGACAATTTTGAAGATCTTAGGAATAAGCTGTGCTAATTGATGTTTTTATTGTTCTTCTTTGAGATCCCTTAATGTGAAACTCCAATCTGCAAGTGGGGACTCAAATGGAGTGTATTAAATGTGCAATGATAGAGTAAATTTTATAGTTTTGCAAAGGGAGCACAAAATTTGGGGTTATTTAATCTCTTTTACGTAAGTTCCATAAACATAGTGCATTGAAGAACATCAGGAGATGTGTTCCCATCTAGGACAGGTGAAATTTTATAGCTGCAGACTATAAGAGGCCCCTGAAAAAAAACAATAGATATAAATACCATGTCTTCCTTATAAATAGAATTCCTAGGCTGTTGTATTACATAAAACAAAATCCCTAAGGCAATTTCACTCTACCCAGCAATTTTTTCTCATTGATTTCTTCTTGCATTCTTCTTCCATGGCTAAGGAAGCACATGTCAAAAGCAATTGCACCATATTTGTAGGATTAATAATTGTCTGCCTTTTCAGTAAGCTTAATAGAATAGAGGACACTAAAATGGTTACATGAGAAGTGCAATACATATTCCTGTTGTTTGCAAATTTGGGGGGTTTTGTTATTCATCATCATGCACTCATGCATGTCCTAGCGGACGCATTTCATCTTCAGTAATGGCTTTGTAAAACCCAGCGATTCACATGTAGGCAAACCCCAAACAATTGGGGAAATTCTTTTGTTTTGAGGAGACAAATCTGAATTATAAAAATTCCAAGCAACGAGTTCTTATCCACTTCTGATAATTCAAATGATGATTTTGTTAGTTGTGTATGTCCTTCTAAACTTCTGGAGTAGAGTTAATTTAGGCTTTTATACACCAGTTGAAGTGCTATGTGAATGCACCTATACTTCCTCTGGAATCTGAACCAGCTTGCAAATACTGTTGCATATATGTGAAAGTGCACAAGAGTTTTTGAAGTAAAAAACAGTTTCCACATCTGGAAGTTAAAAAATCTTTTATTGCGAAGTTCCGTTTTAATGCAATGCATTGTCATGCTCAACATGGATTTTCTCAAATTCCTCTCCCTCTTGAGTCTGGTTTTATCATGTTATTCCATTTATAATATCTGATCAAAATGTTTAAAAGTCTGACTAACCTCAATGACTATTTTCAAACAAAGATGTAGGTATAAATATGTGTTTCAGGACTTGTACTTTGTTTCTCTGTTGGTAGGACCAGGAGAAT